TCGGCTCATCACCGGTATATCAACCAGAAAGCGGACAGGGAAAGTTGGGGGACCCACTGATGAGCCGGACCCCTCGCAACTGTGTCAAGCAGCGGCCGAATACCGACGAAACACGTGTCTGGGCCTTTTAGCTAGTACCTAGTCTCTTAGTATGGCAAGTTACAACATCACCGTATACTACTAAAGTCTGTCTGTTGGCAGCAAGTGCATATTTCGCAGTGGTTGACGGGTTTCAACCCAAATGTACACTTACAATTTCGGTCTATTCCTATAGACCTTAAATACACTGATATATACCGCGAACAGAAATTAATTTCTCAGGAGATTAAAAAGCTAAACTTTATACTTACAATCGTTCAAGTTTTCCTCACATAACTAAGAAAACGCATTTTTGCGGTCACATTTCATGCTCGCCCGTATGTTCTGTTGGAATCGTACATCGACCGCTAACTGCTGGTATTGCTAGAGTTTTAGCTTAGCAGGTATTACTTTACGTGACTGTTGGCATATTCATTTATTGAAACTTGTCAGCCCCTACGCAGGTGAGATTTTGGAGACACCGTGTAAGCCTTCGCAGTCCCTTGATTTCGCTTTTTGACTGTCCTGTCGTAACACAAACAACTTAAACGAAGGTAAACCTTGTGGACCAAGTCCTTCTATCCTCTTGGCTTACTTTATACACTGGAGACTTCATCAACCGTGTACGCTTAACCTGGGTACCCACTTTTCTTGCAGTTGCTGCCTCGCCCTTTGAACCGGAATTGCGCTACCAACAGGCCGACGCGAACGCCTCCGAGGTTCCCTCGGCATCTAGTCAGCATCTTCGTCCGACACCGGAACCGACGCCACCGCAGTACTTTACCTCCGTTCCTGGACGCTCCCAACCGCTCAGTTCCCCGCACACTCCCAATCGTCCACAGAGGGTGGGATCCAGTCTGGAACCCTCGACCACCCACCTTGACGACGTGATTGCTCATGTGGTCTCTGATGCGGTCGCATATGCCAACCAACCTGGTGATACAGGTCCCGCTATGTCTCCACGTCAGCGTCAGCTTCAACCTCCAGGTTCCTACGTCTCCAGCCAGATGAGTGACTCGCCTTCGCCGTTTGTAATTTCGGAGAATCCTCCAATGTCTGTGGGGAGATCGCCTGTTCCGACCCAGGATCCGAGTGAGCCGCGCATGCCGGGTCATTCTTCCGGTTCGATGAGCTACGCCCAGGACTT